AGCAGCAACAATTAAACAATTTAGTTCTAAATAAAATGATAAATTTAAAAGCACTCAAAGTAAATAGATTAAATAATGACTTGAAACATTTGTAGCAAGCGATTGATGATTAACAAAATTTAAAAAACGCCGTTATACGAATTTTGTCTGTTTGTCGAGAGAGTATATCTTGCAATGTAGAGCAAACTAATTCATTTAAAAATAAATTTAAAAACTATGTTGTTGAATAAGTTTTTTTGCCTGAACAAATATATAATTGCGACTGGTCTCGTCTATAAAAGCTTGCCCTATTAGCTAACGCACAGTGGGACAAAAGTATAAAAATCAAAGTCAGAATTTTGATGTCATAATGGTTTTAAACCTTGTTATAGATATTATGAAACAATTTAAAACTATTAATATACACCTAAAATTTTAATGAATAGACTAATTATGTGGTTAAAGTATATGCAAACGTAAATTAGAAAAAAAATATTATAAAGCAAAAAATGTTGTTTACAAAATCTATGGTAATAATGTATTAAATATTGCGCATTGAAAATTTACACTTATCTTAGATAATAATCTGAGAAAGTCTGATTATCAGCGCCTAAGGAACAATGCTGTAAGAAAAGGCTGCAATTTATATCCAGCTTATAATAATGTACGGGAAGCAAAAGTACTTTGTCTTCCAGATAATAACTTATGGACTGTCACTGACTATTCTGAAGAGGTCAACATGCAAACATTGGTCAATCATACAGCACTACGTTTAATAGAATATCAGGTAGAAGTTATTAACTCCTTAGAAGATCTTCAACGAATGACCCTAAGATCCAAAGTTGGCTTTGATGGATCAACTGGCCAAAGCCTTTATACTCGAATAACAACAGAAGAAGAAAACAGAAATATTACAAATGAATCCAGCTTATTCCTCACTTGCTTTATGCCTTTGCAGTTATCTGGATATTGTAATGGCGAAAAGAAGATTATTTGGTCCAACCCAAGATTATTTGGTCCAACTTTATTTTGCAGACCAATAAGGTTCTCCTATAAAAAAGAAACATCAGATGTATTTAAAGAAGAAGAACAATTCTTTTACAACACAATAGAAAAATTGTTTACTACAAAGTATGACAAATTAACAGTTCTGCACAAAATTTAAATTACAATGATGGATGGGAAAGTTGCCACAGCACTATGCACAGCAACAAAACCATCGTAATGCTGCTCAGTTTGCGGTTGCAATCCAAAAAAAATGAATGACTTAAATACTGCAAAAAATCTCCTAATTACTAAAACTGGACTCAATTATGGGCTTTCAACTCTCCATGCATAGATCAGAACTATGCTGCCGTGGCGCAGTAGTTGGAGCGCTTGCTTTATAAGCAGGAGATCCAGGTTCAAAACGAGCTTTGGACATATTTCGCGTCACGGCAAGGAAGGAGGCGTGAACTTTTTGGTTAAATGCACTTCCGCGGTGCTCTGTGACAAGACCGTAAGGACTTCTTGGGGCATCTAAATAACAAAAGAAAAAAAGAAAAAAAAACTATGGAATGCCTTCTTAAAATAAGCTACAAATTAACAAAACAGAAATGGTCAACACGAGAACCATCAGAAAAAAAAAGTAACTCAAGATAGAAAGACATCAATTCAAAAGAAACTTCGTGATGAAGTTGGGCTTTTAATTGATTTTCCAAGGACTTGTGGCTCAGGATCTTCAAACACTGGCAATACTGCTCGACGATTTTTTCAAAATGCAGAGAAGACTGCTGAAATTCTCTAACTAGATATCATCATCATTAAGATGTTGCATGTTATTTTGTGCACTTTATTGTCACAATATGTTATTGATTCTTCTCGATTTAGAGACTTCTGCATGCAAACAGCTGAACGATATGTGAACCAGTATCCATGGTACCACATGCCACAGAGCCCTGCACCAAATTCTTATTCATGGTTGGCAAGTTGTGGATTGAATGGCTTTGCCAATTAGCATGCTCAGTGAAGAGGCACAAGAAGCACGTAACAAGGACTTCAAAAAGTTCCTAGAGTCTTTTTCAAGAAAGTGCTCCCGTTCTAAAACAAATGAAGACTTGTTAAGGAGATTGATGTGTTCATATGATCCAATTATTAGTAATTTGAGAACACCACACTAAAGAAGAAAGACTTTCCAGATGGAGTGCTTGAGCTACTAAAAGAACTTTCTAGATGGAGTGCTAGAGCTACTAAAAGAAGTACCATTTAAAACTACTAAAACTACTAAAAGAAGTACCACTTAAATATTTTGTGTAAATGTATTATATTATTACATTTTTACTGCAATGTTACTTAAATTGTATTTCGCTTTTCATTTTTTCTGCTTATCTGTTTACTATATGTTTATTGCTACAAATTAACGATGTTATAACGACATTTTGTTTACCCCATTGTAACTATGGATATTGTAACTAAGGAATATAAGTATCCATAGCAACAAAATAAAAAATAGCAACTTCATAAAAAGTGCACACATCATATTAGTACTCGTGCCAAATTTAGTGAATATAGCACTCGTAAAATATCTGCAAATACCAAAAATAGGTTGTTGCTAAGCAAAATAAAGGTATTCATAGCAACAAAATAAAAAAATAACACCTTCATAAAAAGTGCAGACCATATTAGTACTCATGCTAGTTTTAGTAAATATAGCACTCGTGAAATATCTGGAATACCAAAAATAGGTTGTTGCTAAACAAAATAAAGGTATCCATAGCAACGAAATAAAAAAATAGTACCTTCATAAAAAGCGCAGACAACATTATTACTAATGCTAATTTTAGTAAATATAGCACTCGTGAAATATCTGTAAATACTAAAAATAGGTTAATGCTAAGCAAAATAAAGGTATCCATAACAACGAAATAAAAAAATAGCACCTTTATAAAAAGGGCAGACATCATATTAGTACTCATGCTAATTTTAGTGATTATAGCCCTAATATTAAATTAGTTATGAAATTAGTTTTTGTCCAGTAAAATTGAATTTTGGCCTACTGTGTAACGTAGCAAACTTTGAAAAATCCGCTGCTGGAAGAAAAGCACTCGAGGACAGAGTAACAGTTATGCCATGCGTAAACGCATAAGTTAGATTTGATGATGGTAGGGAAATCAAAACTGCCTCGTTGCTTCAAAATATGGATTTGGCAGTATATTACAAATCATTTTAAAAATATTTGGAAAACCTTTAGTAACTCGACACTTAGAATTTAAAAACCTTCCCGTAAATTCTCCTTCTCTTTGTCGATAATGCATAATTGTCGACTTGTCGACTTGTCGAAAGATTTGAGAATAATTTAACTAGTAACCCGAACTTAAAAGTTATGAATTTTCGCCCCAATAATACACCATTATTGCAATCACTAAATTAAAATGTGATAAAATCACTAAAACAACGTTATCGCAAACATCTACTTGCAGTGTCTTTTCAGCCTGCAAGTGCAGAAGATGGATCAGTTTCAACACATAAATTTGAAAGATGTTTTTTATTCATGGTGCAGGCATGGAATGAAATTCTCGTGTCAGTTATACAAAATTCGTTTAAAAATTTATTTTCATCAAGTGATGAAATTCAATACAACATTCTTTCCGATCACTTTCCAGAAGAAAATGATATTGCTTGGCAAGATTGTATAATATGATATTTAATGATTGTAGTTTAGCAAATACTGAAATTATGGAGTGGGGAAGTGGAATAAGCGAGGCATATATCCAGTTAACCTTGAAGGAAATCCTAAAGTAGAGAGTGAAACTAATCCTGTTGAAGAAAATGAAAAAACGTTGGATGACTCCAATAAAAACATCAATGATGTTATAAACTATTTTAATTTGTTGATAGAATGGGAAAAAGAAAATGAATTTCCCCGCAATGAGGTTCTTTTGTTACTAAAAATAAGAGAAAAAAGCTATCATGAACAAATATATGTAATTGTTTTTAATTGGTTCAAATGAGTTACATATATAGAGCGTTCACTGTATGTATGTATGTATGTATGTATGTATGTATGTATGTATCTATATATATATACATATACATATATATATATGTATCTATATATATATACATATATATATATATATATATATATATATATATATATATATATATATATATATATATATATATATATATATATATATATATATATATATATATATATATGTATATATATATATATATATATATATATATATATATATATATATATATATATATATATATATATATTTACACAATTTAAAATGTATTCTACAAAAAGTGTGCTCAATGTTCTTAAAAGAACAGAGCAATTACAAATTAGTAGAAAATTTTTGCTAAGTGATTTTCTACTAATTTATATATATATATATATATATATATATATATATATATATATATATATATATATATATATATATATATATATATATATATATATATATATAAACTCTAAAAGAAATTTAGATAACTGTTTTTACTAATTTATTATTGCTCTGTTTTTAAGAACATTGAGCACTCAGTGCCGGTTCAAGGAAGGGGGGGGGGGGCTAAGGGAGACTATAGCCCCGAGCCCCGCAAATTTAGGGGCCCCAAAAAATTTTAGAGGACTTTTTTTTAAAGTCATTTTTTAGGCTCTAGCCCGTAAAAGGCCTCCAAAAACAAAAATAGCCCCGGGCCCCAAGAAGTCTTAATCCGCCACTGTGAGCACTCTATTAGTATAAAATTTTATAAGATAATATATTATCATATATCTTCTTATAAAAGATATACTTTTATATTTCTTCTTATAGAAGAGCTTATTATGAATATTAACAATGCAAACCTTTAACATTATATTTAAAACCTTTATCTTTCAAATTTAATGTCAAATTTTTATGTTTATATTGAAAAGTTATAAATACAATTTTTTTCTTTCAAAATTTTGACTAAAATGTTTATTTGAAATATTCGTTGCTTTAAATGTTTTTTAAATATTGTCTGCAATTTTAATAGTGTTTCTTAGCTTACGTTTGATCATAATTTCTTGCTTTAAATAAATGCTGAATTAAAACAAACAAATATGGCTTCAATGCCATTGTTTATACATATAGTAAGTCACTAAATCTTGCTCTCGTTATCGGTATCACACTCATGAGAACTATCCTTCCTCTCAATAAGATCACCTATTGTTGTGACGCTTTCTCCCCTTCTGTCACGGTCGGTGATAACCATTTTAGACGTGGTCCAATCAATCTGAGTCGTGCTTACGGTACGGCTTTCGCTATGCTTGCGTACTTCTGTCTCAATTTCGTGCATCATACTGTTCATCCAATCTTTAGCCGTAGAAAACGCATTTTTTGCTGATATAAGTGCTCCACCTGGATTTCAAGGATAATTTTAATTAAATTCAACTAGAAATTAATAAAATAAAAACCAAATTCTTGAACACAAAAGTGATGTGCTTCATATACAAATTTGTTTGTAAAAATTGAACAAAAAAGGTATTTTAATTTGTCATTTAATTTATTAAATATGTTCCCGGAAAATAAAATTTATAGGATTCTATCCGATTTTGGACACAAACGAAATTATTACTAAAAACTTGTTTTAACTTCATTTAACGGGTCTCAAACCTAACATTTTTTATTTAATTCTTTGTACTTTTAAAAAAATATGAAGTCTGGCTAGCAGAATTAAAACTATATGTTTTATTTTAACTACCGGGTGACTGAGCAACTGTGTAACGCAACTTTTTAAGGCCCAGCAACTATTTTTAGATATGCGTGGTAGTGCTTTTTTGTTGTTGTTGTTGTGTCATAGACACATAAAAATAATTGATGCAAAATATTTGAGTATTCAATAAAATGGAGATACAGTAGGGAAAAAGACGAATGATATTGGCTATGATACTGATATTTCAGTCGATATTATATTGATATTTTCATAACGACATTAATATTTCAGTCGATATTATATTGATATTATCATAATGATATTGATATTTCAGTCGATATTATATTGATATTTTCATAATGATATTGATATTTCAGTCGATATTATACTGATATTTTCATAAAGATATTGATATTTCAGTCGATATTAAATTGATATTATCATAATGATATCGATATTTCAGTCGATATTATATATATATTATCATAATGATATTGATATTTCAGTTGATATCATATTGATATTATCATAATGATATTGATATTTCAGTCGATATTATATTGATATTTTCATAATGATATTGATATTTCAGTCGGGTAAGACCACTACAGAGATAATTTCAGTGAGATACACTACAGAGATAATTTCAGTCCAGGCACCCAAGCCAGGAAGTAGGTGTCGATTTCTGCAATGCAAAGAGTAATGAAAAACCGTAACCTGAAGTTGAGGACTGCGATGACAAAACAATTAATAACCAAAAATCAAAAAGAACTCTGCAAAAAGCGAAAATCACAATGAGGATTCGTCACAATTTTTTCTGATGAAAAATTGTTCACAGTTGACAAAGCAACTAGCGAAATACAAGGTATCTGATAAAGTTGAATATGTTCCAGGCCACATCAAATTTGCTTTTAAAACGAAACACCAAGCCTCTGTGATGATCCTGGGTGTCATTGGAGGTGATGGAAAGAGGTGAACTTAAGTGTTTGTTCCGAAATGCCAAAAAATTGACTATGAAGAATACTTGAGGCTTGAGAAAGGAAGCATGTAAGACGCACCATAACAGTATCAAGGCTTTACACCAATCTATCTCCAGAAGATGCAAGAGTATTTCAGCTATTGGCATCATCGATGCCTACTGGTCATTCCAAGTTCAACTTCAACAAGTCTATGAAGCTTATGGAGGTCACATTGAATAAAACAGTTCTAGTGATAGCTGCAGTTATATTTTTTTGTTTAAAAATAATTTTTTTATACGAAATTTTAAGTTTTGTCTTTTAAATGTTGCAAAGTTACTGGGTCACCCAGTACATCTATTTTAATACTCACCTACAGCATTTTGAGTTTTGAGTATAGCTTGAGCAATTTTCTTACGAGTTTCTTCACTTGCAAAAGTTTCTGCAAAACTAGTAACAAACAACAATTATTACACAAATAATTGACTTAATTCAAACATTAAAAAAGACTGTTATATTTATTGATATTAAAAAAACAATGATTACTGGTTGAATCTTCTTTGTAAATCAGACACAGTAATATCTCCTTGAAAAGGATGACTAAAAAAGGAAGGTTTTATAACAGTACTACCATGTTCAGAAAAAAGAACATTTGTGTTTTAATAAATCATAAAAAAAAAATAATAGTAAAAATAATTCAACAATTATAAATATGCATAATAACAGTAAAAGTAATAATAATTATGCTTAATAATAAAATAATAATGATAGTAAAAATGACAAAATAAACATTTTTTTTAGTATACAGAATCAAGCTTACCCTTGTACAGAACATTAAAAAAAAATTTTTCAATATAGTTCATTTTTGATGGAGATTTTAAAAAATAATAAAAATACCCTTTATGGAAATGTTCCATTCCAGGATGTTCAGAATTATGCCACTTTTTAAAATTGTTAGTACACAACCATGCCTCACAGAAAGCTCCATTGAAACTGTGCAGTTCACTCACTGTAAATTTCAAACAAAAAGTCTGTTTTACTTTTGGTTTAAATGTTAAACGAAAAAACCAAAAAATGGAAAATGAATACCTCCTCCATCACCTATACTACTCTCAACAGTTGACATTAGACACAGTAAATATGCCTTGAACTGTAACCTGATCCAATCGTCACTACCTTCCCAACCTAAGAGCAAAACAAAAAAATAAAGAATTAATAGGAAAAAATCTTTATAACAAAGAAAAAATATTTATAACAAAGAAAAAAATTTAAAAACTGGATTTAAATCTTTAAAATTAAGTACCCATTGTCTGTATTGAACTCTCTACAACGTTTATTAAATATTCACAAAACCTCAAGTCTTCCGTAGATAGATTAAGTGAATTCTCTAGGTTTTCATCACCAATATGTAGGGTAAATGTCTCAAGCTTAAATTTTATAATATTCAAAACTATTACAATACAAACTAATAATACATTAGTTGCATTTAAAAATATTTCTTTAAGAAAAAATGTAATAAAACACATACATCAACCAAAACATCCCAAGGACAGTGCATCTGTTGCTTAAATAACACATTACTACAACCAATGACAAAGCTATGTACTTTTGGTTTTCTGAGTAGTGTCATATTATGCAGTGATATGTATGGATGAAATAAAACACCCTAAAAATCAGGAAAGAATAATTCAAGAAACTAGAACTAATTTGTCATAATTTTTAATGGTTTTCCATAATGCCATTTCCTTAAATATGACATAATGAAAGGCAGAAAACTTTTTTTTATAACTGGATGCCCTTCCTGGCCCTACCTGTTTTTTTATAACCGGATGTTCTTCTTGGCATTAAGCTATTTTGTAGATGAGAACTAAGTATTTTTATTGTGATAGGAAAATTAAAAAAAACACTAGAAGAGTTATCATTCAAGATTTACAAGCCTAACTCACAATTAATTAGGGGTTTTATATAGGGTACTCAATCTCTTAAATAAATTACATACACCATGGGTAGGGAACCTCACCTGCCCCAATATAGAATCAGTTTAATGTCAAGACTAAGGCAAACATGTCACTAAATATACAGTGCTAAAAAAAATAATAATAGATACAAAGAAAAACACTTAAATACCTCTTCGAACAAACCTAATGGTAACCCATATATATCATGAGGTGTTTGCGTTCCCTAAAAATAAACCATCGTTGTACTAAGTTCTAAATCTTTAAAATACCCAACAAACATTTCAACATTTAAAAAAAAAAAAAAAACTTATTTTAATAAAAATAAAAAACAAAACTTACTTTTTTAATATATATATTTTCAGCACAACAGGCATGAGTTAATCCTTTTTGAAGTAAACCTAGTAGAAATGTTTATACCAAATTATAAGTTGGCTAGTAGTGATTTGAAACTCAGTAGTTTTTCTGTAACTCAGAAAAAATTACTGAGTTAAAAAAAAGTGAAACATCAAATTAATAACTGCAAAATAGATATAACTTTTTTATTTTAAAGCCATTAGTAAGAAAATAAAGATTTTTGAATCAAAATTTATTTGGAGTTTAAAAATCCCATTTAGAGAAAACAACCTGATCTGAAAAATGTTATAACAATCATGTTTTGTTTTTAACTTGGATTTTTAATAACTACAAAATGTAGATATTGTAGTCAATTCAATCAGCTGAATTAATTTATGTCAATTCATATAGTTGTTTATGGCTATGATGTGGTTTTTTCAACACAATGACAAGAGATGATAGATTGTTGGTTTTTTCTCTTCGCTGCAAATACAATCATGGTTGTTGGATCAGCAACCATGATTGAATTTGCAGAGAAGAGAAAGAGATGCTATACTACAATGGGACATTGTAGTATAAATCTCTTTCTCTTTGGCAACAAGTTTGAGGCTCAAGTTTAGTAAATAGACCAGGTCCAACTATATTACTACATTACTACATGTACAATACATTTTTGAGCCTTGTCTAGAAGAGAAAGGGTATCAAAGAAACCAGCCCAAATATGACAACAGTATTCCATAGATGAATAAGAGATTTATAGTTGAAGAATGAGCAAAGAAATGGCAAGCACAATTAAGAGAGGCAACCTTAGCAGATGCTAACTTAACAATGGATTGTCTATATGGTTTCCATGGTTTCAGTTGTGGAAGATAACCTGAGATAAACAAAAATTGAAAAAAAATATCAATATAAAATTATTTATTAATTTGTTTTCAAATTCAATTTTTTTTTTAATTTGAGATAAAATCACTCTATCCTCTAATTAAAAAAGCAGAAAAATAAGGATTAATGCTTTAGACTTGATTTGAACATAAAAATTTTGTATTAAAAAAAAAAAGTTTAAATGTTAGCTATTATATTTAGAAATGTTTTAAGTATAATAACATATATATTTTAATAGTTGATAAATTTAATGAAGAAATAAAGTATAATAAATTAATTATTTTAAAGACTTAAAAAAGATATTTATTATAAATGATATATTAACAACCAGCATTCATAAATTTGAAACTAATACAAGCATATTAGTTCCTCTGGTAGCTTATGAAAAATAAAAAATTTGTCTAAATATAGTGATCCGATATAATAAAAATTTTTTAAAATTTAACTAAAATAAACTAAAAACATTTAAAGAAAAAAAAAATCTTAAAACAATTATTTGAAAAAATTAAAGAAAATAATTAACAATAATTTTAGAAAAAATTAGTACCTGGAAACAAAGTAACAATTGACAAAACAAATTTGCATACACTTTTCACAGGTGTCCCCCAAAAAACAATCTAATAAAAAAGAAAAAACCATTATAAAAAAAATTCCTTTAAGCATAGTAAAATGTAAAAAAAATAAAAAAATATAAACGCACTTTATAATAAACTTAATTAAAACACAAATTATAATAAAATTAATTAAAACACACTTTATAATAAAATTAATTAAAACACACTTTATAATAAAATTAATTAAAACACACTTTATAATAAACTTAATTAAACCTTTTTCTCAAGTAAAAGAAGCTTTAGCAAGACCAAAAGCTGAAAAAAAAAACTTTATACAAATAAATATCACAAGTAAATTTGTTTCCCACTATTTTTTTTTTTCCAAGAAAGGTTAAAAACAATGAGATAGTTAAAGAAATTGCAATAAGAAAGACCAAAGAAAAAAGAAAAAAAAAACTACCTTTTGTCTAAAGTTCATCACAACATCTTGCAAAGTGAGCCCTTAAAATGGGGGAAAATAACAATAAGTCTTCACACCTCCATATACCCATGATAAAGGTATAAAAAATAGAAATCTAAAAAAAGTTATGAACTAGGCTAACATTCTATACCATTGGTTATTTATTAAAAGTTTAATTTCATTTTTCAATAATTAATGCCACTTTATTTCAAAATAACTTAATTTATTTCAAAATAACTTAATTTATTTCAAAATAACTTGATTTATTTCAAAATAACTTAATTTATTTTAACTTAAAAACACATCAAAACATGTGTTCCTAATTATATTTCATTATATTAAAAATGTGCCTGGTACATACACAAGGTAAAAATCTAGAAAAAATCTCTCATGCAAAGAATAAAAAGGAATACAATTCAAGTTTGGATATTTCTTTTCTCTCTATATATTTCATATTTATGAGATAAATACAACCAAAAACAAAAGTTTGATGAGATTTTACAAGGAAACAAGGGTTTTGAAAACAATCAATACAAAACAATATTAAAATTTTAACAAATGTTAAAAACAAAAAATTAATGATTGGATTTTTATCAAAAAATAATCCTAGTTAAAATAGTCTCAATTTCCTTTTAGAAAGTAGGTGGCATTAAACTACTGATTTAAGATGTTTTTAGAAAAAACAAACTTTATGTTATTTTGTTTTATTTACAAATGTCAAAAAAATAAGGTGTCATTTACACGTTTTTTTTTGGATATAATATAAGATGTTAATAATGTAATACCAGTTTTACATGTTAAAAAGTTTAATGTTAAAAGTATTTCTGAGTTTTTAGTAATTTAGTAATTATTGTAATTTGCTTTTTACCATTCAAATTTCAAGAAGCATAAGGTAATCTTAATATCAGGATTCAGGTTTTTTTAATGTTATAAACCTATGACCCTTAATTTTCCTGACCTAAGCCTATGACCCTTAATTTCCCTGACCTAAGTCTATGACACTTAATTTTTAGGTAATTTCCCTGACACTTATTTTTTAGGTAATTTCCCTGACACTTATTTTTTAGGTAATTTCCCTGACACTTAATGTAGGTAGTGCTGATGTTACTTTTGAAGCAAATAAATAATTTAAATCAAACATATAAATAAAATTACTTAACTAAACAAATAAGCTGTTCTAAATATAAATTACTGATACTTAAAAACTTTGTTTTGATTTACACATTGCTAAAACTGGTGTTGTTATCAACTTTAATTAAATTAACTAGTTAAAAATCAAAATTAGTCAACTTCAAATAGTCGATTTAATCGACTATGGATTTCTTACTAATCGATTAAAAGTGGATTTAATCGACTATGGATTTCTTACTAATCGATTAAAAGTGGATTTAATCGACTATGGATTTCTTACTAATCGATTAAAAGTTGATTTAGCTGAACAATAATCTTAAAATCTTTATACCTTTTTTTTCAATTTAACTATTTCAACTTTTAATTTCTGTTTGTTTATTTAATAACAATAGCATGTACTCTTATATTTTTTACATACTACCGAGCTTTTCATTTAATTTTTGTTATCCTAAAGTTTTATCTAACTCATATGATGTTAGCATTATTTATACCTAATTAAACTTTCGATTATTATTTCATTCATTTTTTGTTTTTTTATTTTGTTAACTCTATGATTGTGATTTTCATAAATACTTTTATACAGGGTCGTTCCAATCGATTTGGACCCTGGGGAAAAAAGAAATTGTGAAGCTCCAAAATCTAAATTTTATCTATACTATCACATTGTTTATATGATTGTATAAACTTTTTGATATTTAGTAAGTATTTAAGGCAATAAAAATTTATTGGATTTTAGGAGTAAATTGACCTGTTGTTAAAGTGGCCCTACTCTCGTATTGTTTTTTCCCATCAGTATTTAAATGATATGTTAAAAAATATAAAGTGAATAAAAAATACATTATTTTTATTACAATATATTTCAGAAAAAATTTTATTCCCTTATTTCAACTAAAATAACCTTTAGTTGACTTAATCAAAAATGTATCAGTAAATTTTAGTCAACTTTAGAAAATATATTAGTTGATTTAATCGACAGTCAAATTATTTAAAAGTTGTAACAACCTAGTTAAAACAACGATCTAAATTTAAAATTAAAAAATCAAATACATTTCAAGTTTTTATTTTTTTAAGCAATAATTATTTTTGATAGGTTATAGTGTTGTTGTAATCAATATCTTTTAATGTTGTAGCTAGCCCAACATTACTGTCGATTTAATTTTTCATTTTAAAGTCACGATAGTAAACTCTGATTGGTTTATTTAAAGTCACAACAGCAAATACGATTGGTTGATTTTAAAAGTTTAAGTTATTTAAATTTTGAAACTACTTAAATTTCCTCATTGGATGTTTAGCCTTGTGGTAATGCTCTATTATTTGACAGCTGTGAACAGGGTGGATCCCTCTGTTCGGAAATTTATGTTTAGTAATTGGAATTATGCTTTTTAACTATTATAGTTGTTTACTAAATGTTAAACTGCTATTTAATATTTACATATATCAACTAATATAGAGATAGGCACAGTGAGTGTACATGCATCAACTGATATAGGGATAGACACTGTGGAGTGCAAATACATTGATTAAGGGTTTTGGTTAGAGCAGGCATTCTTTAAAGCAAAGAAAAAAATTTGAAATCACTACCATGACTTTTAGAGAAAAATTAAAGCAACAGTTACATGAGCAACAGCGATCTTTTATACTTTTCATTAGCTAAAACCACACATAATGGATCCTCAATTAGCTAAAATAACACTTAATGGGTCCTCCATTATATTATAACTTTTTTATACTATGAATAAAAGAGTTAAATTATTTCTTGCTGAAATAGCTGTTAACAGAAGGCTTCAGTACATATATCAATTGAAGGTTTGAACAGGTAAAAGACTTTTTTTTAAATTCTTTAATCTAGACAGTTTTTCAAAATTTATTTGAAAAACTGTCTAGATTAAAGAGGACATTAAAAAAATCAAAGTATAAAGCAAGGATTAGGATTTAAAAACTTCAGTTGTATGGATAACTTACAATAAAAATTTTACAACTAAAAATACAATTCAAAATTAAAATTGAAAAACTCAATCTAATGAGTCAAAATATAAGTTCTTGGAAACATATTTTTGTCAATATCTAATAGAGTACAAGTAAATTAACTATATTATCCAATAGAGTACAAGTAAATTCCCAATTTTATCCAATAGAGTACAAGTAAATTCCCAATTTTATCCAATAGAGTAAAAGTAAATTTCCTATATTATCCAATAGAGTACAAGTAAATTCCCAATTTTATCCAATAGAGTACAAGTAAATTACCTATATTATCCAATAAAGTACTTGTAAAATCCCTATATAGAAATAAGAATCAAAAAATTGTTTAGGAATTTTTTCAATTCTCTAAACCCTGAAGGCTATTTGAAGACTAAAAAACGTTAAATTTTGTATGAAAAGGTATAAGAAAAACATTGGTTAAATACAACTAAAATACATTACTCAACAGATTTCATTTTATGTCAGGAAGTTATTTACAAGTGCCTATATTATATTTTATTAAATTTTATAACTGTGTATATGCTCTATTATATTTTATTAAATTTTGTAACTGTGTATATGCTCTATTATATTTTATTAAATTTTGTAACTGTGTATATGCTCTATTATATTTTATTAAATTTTATAACTGTGTATATGCTCTATTATATTTTATAATATTATATTTTATCTATTTTTATATTAAGAATTAGATCTTGAGAACATACCCATCATGTAAATGGAGTCATCAAGTTTTACAGATGGTATTTGTTTACATAAGTTATCAAAGCAATCCTAAAAAAACAACATAAAATTTGCAAACTTTAAAACTATATTTGAAACAAAAATTTAAAATATAAAAAAAGCTGAAAATATGGAATAAAGCACAGTAGTTATAGATGCACCAAAAAATTGTCAAACAAAAAAAAAAAATGACAAAGGAAATCAATAATTTAAAGCTTAACATAAAACGTGACAAATTTGGTACTAAAACAAGTTCAAAGCATGTTCAAGACTATTCAATAAACATATTAAATTGTGATAATGCAATCTGGTAACAAGTGGTAACGGTGGTAAATAGAAAAGTGCACCAAAAGTAAATAAATAAAGGTGTTAAAAAAAGCTATTATAAATGTATTCAAAATTAAACTAAAACAAAATCGAACAAGAATTAACTATGCAATGTTTTTTATATAAAAACAATTATAGCATTTGATAAGTATAATAATGCAGTAGCACTAGCATTACTACAAGTAGCAATTTATTTTAAGTAGTTTATTAAAGTGTAGAAGATTATGTAGCAATGAGGTAAGAGATGATGATCAATAGTGATGAGGTGAGAGATGGTAGTGTTGTCAATAGTGATGAGGTGAGAGATGGTAAGGTTGTCTTCTCGGATTTTATTAGTCAATTGAAAGATCTTAATCATTGTCCTATTTGAAATTTACTAATAAATTTTTTTAGATAACATTTTTAGTATGTTACTTATTATAATAAATATAATAATTATATAAATATAACTTATTATACTAAGCATAATAATTATAACAAACTAAACCATATTAGGACGCGGCATGTGATTAAAATACTTAAAATCAAACATAAAAACTTTTAAGCTTTTTTTGAAGTATATTGGCAGTTTTGAAGAGTATTTAGCAGTACTAAGTACAGTATTTATGTATAACATTTATTCCATTTGCTGCAAATGGAATTTATTTCATTGTTTACATAATATATAAGTGTTTTTTCAACTAGAGTTATTCATAATAATAAATTCTTTAACCAGAGTTATTCAAAAGTTTCCTAAGTTTTATGTTATGCAAATTGCATATATTATTTGGTTTATTTGATGAAAACTTCATCACTCTGCACCATTTGTTAATTGGACCCAAAAAAGAGAAACCTGTTGTTTAAAATTGAAGGTCTAATTGTGATGGCTGGTGGTGGATAGTGATGATGGATGGTGGATAGTGATGACGGATGGTGGATAGTGATGACGGATGGTGGATAGTGATTCATTTTAAAAATGATACTATTTTATTTTATTTTATTTGTATATTAAATATCTTAAAGAAATTTTTCTTTCTATGAAAATTTGAAAAAAAAAAGTTGACAAAACTACATTAATTTTTGATTAGAAAAGCAAATGAAGGAAAAAAAAGACCTCATAAAAAATTGTAAACAATAAATTTCTTCGAATCATAAAATGTTTAAACAATTTATAAAAACTGTAAAAACTTTTTTTAATATCACTTTTTTACTAAAGCACAAGACAAAGAAGAAAAGAAAATCTTCTTTCCTCCCACTAGAGATTGTGAATTGATAAATCATTAAAAAAATCCATTACCAATTACTGTGAATTGGTAAAAAATGTTGACAAATAAATTTAAAAACAATTATAACAATAAAATTAGAACTACAAGGATCAGCTCATATAAAGTAATATGTTAAATAAATGCAACAACTAGAAAAAAAAATGCAAGCAACATCTTAAATAAATTAGTATTGTGTTAAAAAAAAAAACTTGCAATGTATTTTATTCTAACCAATTGTCAAATTTTTATAAATATAAATATACAATAGAATCTATAAAAGATCATAAAATTTTTTAAAAAATCAAAAAACACTAGCTCAAAATACTTACTTTTAATATTTGTGTTTGAGAAAAGTCAAGTTCATTAAAGTATGCATGTGTTACTAGCTCCAGTTTCGATAAAATAAAGGTGTACAATGGCTTTGAAAAAAATAATGTAAAGTTAAATAACATATATATATATATATATATATATATATATATATATATATATATATATATATATATATATATATATATATATATATATATATATATATATACATATATATAAATAAATATATATATATATATATATATATATATATGTATATGCATATATATATTATATTGCGTACTTAAGGTAAGCAATCTGAGGTCATACTGAAATAGCCTGCTGCCGGGGGCTTCAGTACATACATCGACTAACAAATAGTCTGACTTGCAGTTGAGTGCTGCTACATCAACTGAGGGTTTGGCATGGGACAGCAATCTTTTCATTCATTATTTTTCTTCTTTTTCTAAAAAAGCCGTATGGATTAAGATGTATGTATGATTAAGCCGTATGGAAGATAAGCAAAAAAAATGAGCCAATGCTATATAAATACGGTATAGTGTATATATATATATATATATATATATATATATATATATATATATATATATATATATATATATATATATATATATGTTACTTAACTTTACATTCTTTTTTTTTTTGAATATACATACATATATTGAATATATGTATTTATATTCAATATAAAAAAAGACTTTACAATATAAAACAAAGCATGTTACCATTTTCATAAGAATACAGACACTTTTTTGGACGGATGTTCTTGTTATATTTTCATCTTTATTTTTCAGTTTCTAAAATAAAACTGATGTTAAACATAAGGAAAGTTTCATTTTGTGAAATAGGCTTTAAGTAAGGACCACCCTAAGAAAAGTTTTTTTTGTGTTTACATTACTTTGATTTCAAGCTGATTGATTGTTATAAAATTATTGAAAATAAAGCAATAAAACATTTTAAGCAAAATGTGAAAATTTAAAATCAATTTTTACTTAGACATAATAAATCAACTTTTTTAAAATAATAAACATAATAAATCAAATTTTTAAAAAATAAAATAAAGAACTGATAATGATAAAAACTATGCAATTTGAACATTTAAAAAGATATGCCTCTGAACAATTGATTTGAAAGTGACAAAAAACAAACTGTGTCCCTACAAAGTCATTTGATGTTGAATAACTTATACTGTAAATTTCTACAGTTACATTTAATACTGCATTACTCTACAGTTACATTTATTACTACATTACATTTATATAATACATAGTATTACTTTTACTATATTAACAATGTAACAAAATTTTTGTACATTTTTTACAGTTACAAGAATTATCATTTAAACATCAACAGCTACTTTTTAATATTAATAAATAAAAACCTTGCTATCAATTTGTCTGAAACAAGAGACTCCAAAAACTGTTTCTGTTGATAGTTTTGAGCCTTTTGTTAATGCTGGTAGATTGAAAAAAGAACAGTCTAAAATCAAAAAACATTATATCACAAACATGGAGAGACTTATGTTTTACATAATAAAAAAAATCTCTTTAATAAATATTGCAAAACTATTTTATATTCCTTCTGAAACTGAATTTAACATTCTACGCTTCACTATTTTAGATTCCTTTAAAAATAAATTTAAATTTTTAAAACCATATTTAATTTAAAGTCTTTTATTTAAAAAAAAAAAAAATTAATAAAATACTCTGTTTTTTTAAAAAATTCACAGTTGCAGTTAAATGCATTTTTTTACAACTTAGTATTTTCTGAATGAACGTCACTAAACGTCATAAAATGGTATTAAAAGATAATTTAAATATTCCTAAATAAAAAAGTTTTTCCTAAACACAAAACTGCTGTATCATTATGTAGCTTGCATTTCAGGTATTAAATGGTGATTTGCTTAGAACCAGGCCAAATAGTAACCAGGCCACACAGTACTCCATACAGGAACGAATAAGAGATTTAAAAAAGTAGAGCGTTGATCCAAGAGATAAGAAATAACAAGCACAATAATAAGAAGCAACCTTAGCAGATGCAGGCCTTGTTTTAAAGCATTAGGCTGCCAGCAACTTACGTACGTGTAAAGCAAATTTACGTACGCCTAAAGCGATTTTTATTTAGCAACTTTTTATCATATTTTAATATTTAAGTTATTCTATAAGCAGTAAGAAAAAAGAAGTAATTAATTTTTTAAGTTTATTGTAATTAAAATTAATGCTTGGATTTAACTGTCAAATTTATTTAAAAATAATAGAAAACATTGTTCAATATTTACATTTTATTTATTATTGAAAAAAAAAAAAATTAGCTCATTTTTGTTGCAATTGTTTTTTCGGTTTTTCCTTCATAAACATTTTTTTTTACTCAAAATTAAATTCCTTGTAAACGTGTTCCGTGGCTGCATCAAAAATTAGCACAAAATGTAAGTTAACGTTTTTTTTTATAATATAAGTTAAAGAGTTGTGATTATTTTTTTTAAGCAAGTTAAAGAGCTGTGATATTATAATTTTAAAAACAGTGTTTGGAAAAATAATCTTTGCTTTAACAACAAAATCACTTATAAAGTAATAAACTTCTAATAAATAAAGTTAACAAATTAATAAAAAAAATTTATTTGTTACTCGCTAATTTTTTCAAAATTAAAAATCATTATTAGTGGCAAAATCGCAATTAAAAATTAAAAAAAAAAATAATTTTAAAAAATTTAATATACTTAAACTCATTTATACAAATGTTGAGAAAAAAAAGAAATTTGTTTATATGAAACATTTTTCAAATTATAATATTAAATTTAATCATTTAATATAAAAAAAAATGAAAGAAAATAAACATTCCTTAATGGTAATAAAAAGAAATGAGTTAAATAATATTTAACTTGTTTTGTGGTAATTAATATTATTGCAGTAATTTAACAAACTTAATGTCTTTAAAAAATAAAAAAATAAAGAGAATTTTATGACGTCAAAATCGCATTAGGCTAATGCTTTGAGTACTATATATATATATATATATATATATATATATATATATATATATATATATATATATATATATATATATATATATATATATATATATATATATATATATATATATATATATATATATAATATATATATATATATATACATATATATATATATATATATATTATATATATATATATATATATATATATATATATATATATATATATATATATATATATATAATAATTTAATTTTTATATTATAAACTTATATAAATTAATTCCTGAGAATTTTTATAAAAATAAATTCTTTCACTTCATAAAAATAGATTTCCATTTTATAAATAGAAATAAGAAATTAGTTCATCAATTGACAGGTAAAAATTAATTGAAACAAAATAAATTGACAATATTTGGTTGTTGGAGAATACTACATGCAATTTTTGGTTGTGGCAGGATATTAAAGAAATCTTTTCAAAAAACTCATCATACTTTTATTAACTTTTTATTAGCAAAATCAAAATAACTAAGAAAAAAAAACTATAAATTTTTTGGAGAATATTTAAACTATAAAATTATGAATGTTTTACTAATATAGATTTTATTTCAAGTTATGTTAAACCACCTAACAACTTTCACATTTTTTACCATCCCATAAAAAAATCAAATGTTCAACCCAATATTTACTTATTATATTAATTTTTGATGTAAAATGTTGTCAAATGTTTTACTATTTCTAAAATAAGTCATAATTATATATTTTATAAATACTTGCATGTCATAATGTTTTATCAAGCTTTTATTAAACATTTAAGTTACATAAATATTTTTGAATGCATTTGTAACTTTTTTTTTGTAATAACAATGTTAATAATAAATGATAACTCTATTAACAATGCATATTTAGTCAGAAAATGAAAACAGAGTTAAAGCTGTTACAATTAATATTTTTGTTCAAGCTGCTAGTATATGCCACTGTAAGAGTCTTACCATCTTCAAAATTATGTGCTCCATCTGGCATTGCAAGATAAGGTAGTGCTTGCCATGCTTTAGGGAGATTTATTTCAGAACCATCTTTGTTATCCAACAGTGGGTCATTTATCATTGGGTAACAAAATTCGATCTAATATAACAAAGTGAAGAAAAAGTTCAGAAAACAACTAACTTTAAAAAAAAACATTGAAAATAAAAACAAAAATTCAATTAAACCTGTGTTCCTTTTTGATGATGAAATCCAACCACAAGAATATGAGCGATGACAGCATCATTATCTCCTTGTGACATTTAAAAAACTTATACTAATAAAATAACATTTAATATATTAGTAAATCATCATAAATTAAATATCAAAATAAAGATTTAAATAAAACCTCAAATATAGTCATTGAAAAGTTCTAAAACTTAGTTAAAATAAAAAATAATATAAATTTTATAGTTGTTAAAACATTTTAAAAAAATATAAATGTTGAAAGTAATAAGAAATTTATACTTAATAAAAAGAAAAATTAATAAACCATAAGTGTAACCTTCAAAACTTAACATCAATTCAAACTCTTTATTAAATATATTAAATGCAAATAATTTAAACTCAAAAAACAAAAATTATAAACCGTAAGTGTAACTATAAAATCTTAATATCAATTCAAACTCTTTATTAAACTTTTATTAAACTCAAAAAAGAAAAATTAATATTTTTAAAAATTTATTTAAAACAATTCTGAAAACATTTATGATTTTATAAACATTATACATGAAAATAAAAATTTATTTACAGGACAACTTTAAAATAAGATATGTTACCCAATTATACATACAACATTTATATGCATATTTTTATCTGAAATTTCATAAAAGTATATATTCATTTTATGCAAAACATGTAATCCATAATATTGAAAAACATAAATAAAAAAATAAATCTATATACAGTATAGCCTAATGGTTCCGTGTTTAAACATAGGTGTCATTCCAACAAAGCTATACCATATATATATATATATATATATATATATATATATATATATATATATATATATATATATATATATATATATATATATATATATATATATATATATATATATATATATATATATATATATATATATATATATAATAAAATCTCAAAAAAGAATATAAACTAAATCAAAGTATTAAAAGAAATCAAGGAAAAAAGTTTTACTCAAAAAGGGTGATAAATTCAAAATAAATGATAACAAAAATTATGATAAAATTTATAAAAATCAGATTTATGTTAGACATTTTTCATGTAAATATTGAAATCAGTTTTAAAAACTTTAAAGTTTGAGAAAACGACATGCTTTATTTTACAGGTGCAAATGTTTCTCTTAAAAGTGTGTTTTTTAATTTACCAAAAGGTAGTTCCACCTCCAGGTGGACCACTCACCCAATCAGCTGATTGCTGATGCATTGTAACATTCTGACCTTGAGCAGCTGCTATTTGAGCAGCATTTGGTGCAACACCAGGTGGAGGTGGCTAATAATAAACAAAATTAAATTCAACTAAATAAAAATTAACTTTGAAAAAATTGTAAAATTTAGTTTAGGTAACTATACTTTTTGGTTTTTTCTCTCCATACATATTTTTACATGAAACTTGATATATATATATATATATATATATATATATATATATATATATATATATATATATACATATATATATATATATATATATATATATATATATATATATATATATATATATATATATATATATATATATATATATATATATATATATATATATATATATATATATATATATATATATATATATATATATATATATATATATATATATACATACACCAGTGATAAGATTTGATCTAAAAACCCTCAATACCAAAAATCTTGAAATCAGGATAATTTTTAGACCCCCCACAAAATATTGGAAGTTAGAACAACAAACTGCTCAAATGTTGTTCAACATTTTAATCCACTAGTTATTATTGTTTGTTGTGGGGTTTACACAATTTAATTATTAATCATTAATAAAAATTTACACAAATTTGGTCAATTTAAGTAACAACTATTTGTACATATCCCTCAAAAATACTTATTTTAATATTGATAAATATACAATTAATCACATTACTGAAGTTATTTTTTTATTTGTTGGAATTTTATTTCAACTAATTTTTTCGTGTAACTGAGCTCCATTAAAGCTTTTTTGATGCTATTACACAACTTGAACAAGTTGTTCTCTCTTTACTGGATCAAAACATTTGTCTTTGATGTCTCCTATAAACTTGATACCTCACTCTGCAATATCATTGACACAAGAAAGAGCAACTCGCTGTGTGGCCATGCATACACAGTAATTTGCTTTTCCTTTTTTCCAGTAGCTTGCTTGAAAGTTTTTCCATACCAATGAATTTCTTAAATTCAAGCGGAATCCAAGTTTCTTTAACTAATTTAGCTTTTTGTTAGCTGATCTTGCTCTATAAACTGATGTTGTAGAAAATGTTATGTCATTTAAAACTTCTCCTACTGCTAAATCTTTCAAAAAATAAGTAGCCATTGACTTTCACTATTTAATGGTAGCTTTCCTACTTTTAACTTGGAAAAGCTAACAATCCAATGATTTAAACAAGAAGAACGTCTGCTTTTTTTAGCGACAATATTTTCGTTTGTAGCAATAGCTGGAATATGTATTGGATCAAAAAAATGTTTTTATCCCTGATCTGAGTGCTTCTCTTCTGGTTCAATAGATACAATATTTCCCAGACTTTTGCTTTACTTTGGTATGGGAGCCATTACATTTGTAATATAACATTTAATACAAGATGGAAGCTTGTAATAAAAACACTTTTAGTAACTATACATTTAGATATAAATTTTGTAATATTAAAAGGTTCATTAGAAACTTTATAAACTAAACTGTAGCAACTTATACATACTAGCATTGCGGCATATCTTTAAGAACTATCTTTGCCTCATGAGAATCAAGAACTTAAGACTTAATGACTTCCTTAAATTCACAATATTAAATACAATATTGAAGGCACAAAAGTATCAAAATTAGAATGTTTGAATAGTATTGGAATGAAAGTAACTAAAATGATTTATGTTACACAACATATGTGGTGTTTTGAAACAAATCTCTTGTAGGGTAAGTACAAATAGTTATAAATTAATAAAGTTTTGTAGAATTATTCAGTAATGATTAACAATTAAATTGTGTGAACCCCACAACGAAACATTAATAGTTAGTGGGTATATATATATATATATATATATATATATATATATATATATATATATATATATATATATATATATTTATATTTTACATACATACATACATACATACATACATACATACATACATACATACATACATACATACATACATACATACATACATATATATATATATATAAATATATATATATATATATACATATATATATATATATGTGTATATATATATATATATATATATATATATATATATATATATATATATATTTATATTTGTATATATATTTATATTTGTATATATATATATATTTATATATATTTATATACACACACATATATATATATATATATATATATATATATATATATATATATATATATGTGTGTATATATATATATATATATATATATATATATATATTTATATTTGTATATATATTTATATTTGTATATATATATATATTTATATATATTTATATACACACATACATATATATATATATATATATATATATATATATATATATATATATATATATTTATATTTGTATATATATTTATATTTGTATATATATATATATATATATGAATTTTAAAAATTCATAACCTTCTCATTTCTATTAATTGCAATCTGAAAATCACAAATTATTTTGATGCAATCTTTCTGATAACTCATTCCAATCTTACAGTAAACTGGATAATACCCTTAATTACATACATTCTGATTCCAGCTATCCAACATTATAAAAATATTTTTAAGAGGTCTGTTCCTGCTTACAATGATGCATTAAAAAAATCTCAACACAATTGTACACTCACATAACAACCAATAGTAAGCAACCAGGGTTGAAATTTGACCAGGCATCATACCCATCATCTGATGATCATGATCATGGTCACAATCATTATCATCACCATCATCATCAGGCTTAAGCCTTTCTTATTTATGCTGTTTCTGTAATATAAACAATCTAGAGCATTTTCATTATTTAACTAAAGCTCATTCATACAAGATGTAAGGCACTCTCTTCAAGTTTTTATACTTCTATCTTTACCATTTAATCCTGAAGCTGCTACCTCTCTACATGCTGATACCTAAATCACTTTATTCTTTTCTAACAAACATTGCTTGATACAATGTTTTTTCAATCTGTTCTTATAACTCTTACCCATCTTCATGTTTTCCTTTTATATGCTTTATATGCAACCTACAACTTTTTAAGTCTTCAGTTAACCACTTTCTAGCTTTTTAACCCTATTCTCTATTTTAAAGAAACTCATAACTTAATAGTGGTTGTTTGCAACCTTCTTGGAAGTAAATAAGAGTTTAAAAATATATTAATAATGCCAGTATTTAATAAATAGTAAATGTAAATATAAAATTATAATACAAATTTTTTTCTAGCCCTGGCTATCAAACCCTGTTAAATCTTATAATTTTGCATTTAACACCAAAAATATAAATGCAACACAGAGCTTTACAAAGAAATAATGGAGTTAAAAGAAAGTAATTTTGTTCTATCTATTAAATTTGAAGTTATTATGCCAGCAGGCCATACAACTTGATTTCAAAAATTTGTCATTTTGTGACACAAAAACAAATTTCTGTCGTCTACCCATGATACTGATGATTAGACAACCATTATTATACCTAATTTTTTTCTTTTGTTACATTTAATGTTGCTTTAGAGATGTCAGAACTTGTCCGATTGTATTTTTAATTTTTTTAAACAGCTTTTAATATCTTAATCAAGTAATGTATGTACTGAACTATATATTTTGATAATAAATATTATAGGGGATGGAATCAGTACCTAAAATAATACAAAAGCATCATTTTGGGTTCTGATTCCAACCCCTATGATTGACAGCAGGTTATAATAAAGTATATATATTTTTGATTTTAGAGGAACATAATCATTGGGGTAAAGTTATACAGGCGTGGAGTAAAGTGAGACGAGTGAGTAATTAACAACATATTAACAAAAATTTTTATTTAAAAACTATAAAAATAGTAAACAAAACATAATCATTATTTTTAGAAAACATTCCTGACTTTTCCAAGTCTCTAATTTCTCTAATTTTCAAACTTTGCCCTGGTCTTCAAGGTTTCCCTGAGCACCATGAGCCCTGTTACTTCATCTTTCAAGGTAGAACAATTTATAGATCTCAAAAAGATTTCATTAAAATCTCAATAGTTTCATCAATATCTCAAAAAAATCTCATTAAGATCTCAATACTTTCACTTTAAGATTTATAAGATTATTTATTATAAAAACCTTTATAAGATGTCAATGAGATCTACAATCAGCATATTAAAAGAAACTTACAGGAATATTATAGCTTGATCCTTTGCCAAATCTAGCTGCAGGATCATAAGCGCCACTTTGCTGTTGTGGATAGTACATAGGCTATAAGGTAATTAAAAAAAAACATTAACATTATGCGAAGAAAATAATAAGAATTAAAGAAAAAAATTTTTTTTAATTGTTTTATGAAATTTATGTAAAAACTAATTTTAATTATAAAATTATGTACTGAGTAACTCTTAAATAACTAAGTAATGTCAACTTTATTTCAAAAAAACTTTATTTTGTTCTTTGTATCAAAATACCATTAAATAATATAAATAATTTAAATAATAAGTTATTTATTTTTATCATGCCATAATGAAAGTTTTCATATTAGCGGTTGTGATTTCTAGTATTTTTATTTTTAATTTTTAATTATAATATAATTTTTATTTATAAAATAAATTATAACAATTTAATTTTTAATTATAATGTAAATGTATATATTTCAAACTTTGTAGTTTTTAATTAGTATATTATTGTTGAATAAAGCCTTACTCAAAAAATGTTTTCAATTTTATGACTTCATCACAATTTATTCAACATTAAAACATTATCAACATAAAAAAAAATTAATAGAAAATGTTAAAGATCTAAAAACAAACAAGCCTTGACTTTGATCATAATGCGCCAACTGCTTCAAAAGAATGGAAGCATTGGAAGCGAACATTTAAAAATTTCATTATTGATTGTGGATAAGACGCTACAGATAAATTTTTCTCAATTATTAATTTTGTATCACTCAATATTTATGATTACATTTAAGAGTGTGATTCCTATAAAAGCATTACTGAAACCTTGGAAAACTTATTTATAAAAACCCATGATGAGATTTTTGCGAGGCATCAATTACTAACAAGTAATTACCTTTACAAGTCTTACTTTAGGAACTATGCTAAGCAAGAATTGTAATTATAAATTATGAATTTATGAATAAAGAATTGTAATTGTTTCAGGTGAACAATATCAAGAAGAACAAGATGCTTTTATTTCTGGAAGAAGAGACGCTTTTATTTCTGGAATAACTTCTAATTATATTCACCAACACCTTGAATTTCAACTGTGACTATACTCACTCTTTTGAGATTGCTTAGAGGAACTATAAATATACAGAAACCTCACTCATCCACCAATTATAATATTGTTGCTGCTATGAAATATTGTTCATCCACAAACAAACTGCATTTATTGTGGTAATAAATCTCACAACTAACTTAGTCCAACCTCTACTTGGAAAAATTGTCCACTTCAATATACTAAATGTTTTTAATGTGGAAAAATAAAACATTGTTGCTGAATTTTGATGCACAAAAAATGTGGAAAAACGAGACATTGTTGCACAAAATTGGCTTTTCAAGACAATTTTGTCTTGATAAGCCAATGAGTTGACCCACAGTGTTTCAGCTGCAATGCATAAACCAAGTTTGTGTACTATTTAAAGTGGTTGCCTTTTGAGTCTTTCTTGTGCATCTATTGGTGTCAGAATTAATGATGAATAATTAACTGCACTAATTAATTCTTGCAGTTCAGATAATTTTATTAGCAAAAAAACTATTGACACTTTGAAAATAAAACTCAGAAGCAAAGAAATCTCTATGACCTTAACAACAATGGAATCTGATTAAGTGGGTTGTTGTTGTTTTAACCTCAAAGTAAATGGTTTAATTTAAAGTAATGTCAAGTTTGGTGTCTTGGAAGTGATATATAGTGATATCATACTTTGCTATGACTTCCAAAAGCAACACAAAAATCTGATTTTTACATTTGGAAAAATCAGATTTTTCCAAATGGAAAAAATAAAGACTTTATAGTCACAAGGAAAAACAACCTATGCACACAGCGAATGGGTAAAATAAAAATACCTTTCCTGTTTCCAAATTTTTCTGACAAAACTCAATAGCTACCAAATTAAGAAGATTTAAGATGATAAAAAATTTATTGAAAGTGAAATATCAAAGTTATTATCGAATGATATAATTGAACCATGCTTCTCACCATGGAAAGCCCAATCAGTGGCTGAAAAGGATCTGACTAAATCAAATAAAGACTCTCCTTTGATTACTCTCAAACAGTTAACCTTGACTCTTAATAAAATACATATCCTTTTCTCAGAATACACAATATGATAAATGAACTTGCAAAATGCAATGTATTCTCTTTGACTTAAAAAGTGCTTATCAAACAGATTCCTATAAAAGATTCAGACAAAAATTAAACAGCTAATGGTAAATTGTTCCGATTTTTCAGGATTCCATTTGGAGAAACTAACTGGTAGTTTATTAACAAACTATAAAAAATAAAAAAAGTTGTTAGGTTTTAAACTATTTTAAAACCTAGCGACTTTCTTAATGCATACAAAATAATGCAGATTTATTTTTTAAATGCTATCAACCTCCCTAAAGCCAAGAAAGCCACTTCAGTGGAGGAGGATACTTTTTTTTTTTTTTTTTTTTGGTAATTACAATTGCCAACTGTTTAACTTCAAAACACAAATCTTGATAAACAAGGCCACTACACAGAGAAACAAGTTAAGTGTGGTACTACCAGGGATATGGTGGGGATCCAACTAGGAACTTCTCATTTATGATGCAATCGCATCATAAGTAAGAAGTTCTAAATACTACTATACCACTAGCATATAAATAAATTATTTTTGAAGGGTCAAAAAAGATATAGAAAAACTTAAAAAAAAAATTTCAAAAAAATTTTGAGCAAAACTACAATTATTATTTTCTAGATTTGTTCCAGCAGTAAAATTAGTTATGCTATTATTCAAGTAATCTGAAAATTTCATTACAACATATTCAGACAATTCTTGAAAACAAAGTTGTATAAGTACTGCTCTTCAACTCACAACAAATTGGTCTGGATAAATCCAGTTGAAGTTGGGAACTCATATTTGAATACAAAATACTTAAAATTTGGAACAGCTCAAGGTGTTGTAAAAAAAAATTTTTAATGTTTAACAAATTTACTAATTCAATGTTTTATCAAATAGAGGTTAAGGTTTTATCAAATAGAAATTGTAGTGTAAAAATTGTTTTACAAGAAAGAAACCAATGGTTTGTGTTTATTTGCAGCCTCAGAACTAAGGAAAAAAAAAATCAACAATAAACTAACAATCTTGCAACACAGATTTTTTCAAAAACAAAATAAAAAAATAAAAAAAAGAAGACTGTCTATATATTTTTCATAAAAAAAGCATCTTTGCCAAACAACAACCATCATTCTTCATTAGAGAACACACTAACAAAAAAATCTTCAATAATTTGTTCTTAATAGATGAAGTGCTGAATTCCACCATTAATGTCATTGTTTTTTGACTAAATAAATATATCAATAAATATCTGATTGGCAAACTTGTTTTCTTTTTGCATTATCAAGGTTCTTCATTATATGCATATTTAATTTATTTAAACACTAATGAGCAAAATTTACCATAGATTAGTTGTTTTCTAAAAGGTCTTCTGCAGAGTTCATAGACAGAACTCATGCTGCTCAGAATAAATATTTAACAGGCATCTCATTAATATACATTAGAGACATAAACCATAGAGGAGCTTGATTGTAATGGTATTCCAAACAATATATATCATCCTACTCATTATATTGATATTGATAGTTGTAGCATTACAACTAATAGATTTTAAATTGTACATCTGCAACTGATTTTAAAGTGTACCATGACAACTAATAACTTTTAAACTAATAATGTCTACATTTCTTGGCAATAATATTTCAACTATGGATTCAATATGTTATCATGGTTACTATTTATAAGTCTAAAACTGATGTGTTATAACCATAATATAAAGATCTCAGAAAGTAAAACCAAATGTTTTCTATTTCTCCTGTACAATATTTTGAAAAAATGAAAATGGGAGAGAGTTCCAAAGGATTGAAGTGCGATAAAAGTTTTTAAAACATCTGCATGCTTTAAAAACTTTAAAATTCGACAAGCAAATACTCAAAAAGAAAAAAAAATCACTTTTAATGAAAATATTCTTGCAGCGCATCAATGGCAGGCTTGGACAGGAATGACATGCGATCGCTGTAACTGACCACGCTTACATTTTTTTTTCTTTACAATTTGACCACGTTGGTTTTGATGTTTTAACAAATGCTATAAAATAAACTTTTACGTTATCAATAACTTTTAATCTTTGATCTTTCCTAAAGTTTTTATTTTATGCAAAGACTTTAAATAAAATAAAAAATTAACTAAGCGATTGTTTAAAATAAATGCAATTTGTGTAAATTAACAAATAATATTATATTTAATTATTTTTTTATGTAGACATGTATTTTTTATGATTAATTTAAACATTTTAAAACTATTTTTCCGTGTCATTCTAAAAAATTTTTTGAAAAATAAACTTTTAAGTTACTTTAAATCATGAATAAGTTAAATTAAATCTTCCATTGCAATGGAACGATTTAATTGGTTTATTTTTTTTTTATTTCTATTTATACAAGGAATTGTTTAAAACTTTATCTTGACTGACTAATCAGATTATAAAATGATTAAAAATTACTATTTTAAATAGAATACAGTATTTTTTTAAACAATTTTTTTTTTTTTTGAAAAAAATAAGTATTTATACAATTTAAAAATAGTATATATAACACGTTTTAGTAATTTTAGTAAATAAAATTTGTTCATTCATTAAACAATCATAAGAAATTGTGAAAGCATTTTGCATAACTTTAATAAAACATTTCAAAAGAAATGTTTTAAAGTAATCTATTAAAAATACAATTAAAAATAAGAAACTTTCAAGTAACAAGAAATTTTCACTTTGAGTTAGAGTTTTTTTAGTTTTATTTTAGTGCTTATATATTTTCTTTTTTGTAAGGAATTATTTTCTTTGTTCATTATATTTTCTATAATTTTCTTCCTAGTTTAAGTTTAGCTAGCATTTCTTTTTTCAGCACATTTCTAAAATGTTTAAAAATCATCTAAACAGTCGTGGTCAAGTTGTCAATAAATAAAATCATTTGCGTGGTCAATAATGGTAGAACTAGATTTCTCATTGAGTATTAATTGTATCGAGAATTGATTAATCAAATTTATGTGTAAACTATATTATTTATGTATTATTATTTACTCCATAATCTTTGCAGTTTCTGGGAATTTTAATCTTGCTTTATTTAAATTTAATAGTTTATTTCTCGCTAACTTTTTAGCAATAGAAAATTACATGTTACTTCCATAACCCTAACCCTTTCAAACATTGACAAAAAATTATTGTATCAAATGTCAAAAAAAAAAAAAAAAAACTCTATACAATAAAAAAACAAAAGCAAAATCTCTAAAACTTGTAAACAATAACACTTGACCATTGTTTTGAAATTTTCAATTAAACTAGTTTTGTGGTAATTTAGTAAATGTATTATCAAATTATTACTTATTAGTTTTCAATTTTTCTTTATAATAAAAAAACAGCTTTGCAAAAATACCTGAGCTGGAGGCATATTTGAGTATGCAGGAGGGGGACCTACTCCATAAGATGGATTGGCCCCTTGTGGAAAATAAGCATTTTGTGGTGAAGGATAACTAGCTCCTGGTGCTGGATAACCACTACCTTGGGGATAAGCAGGTATATTTTGAGGAATGTTGTATTGTTGAGGTGGCATATATGCTTGATTAACACCAACTGGTTGATTGGGAATACAATATGAAGTGTTAGTGTGCACAGGGTATGCCATGTGATGATCCCCATGGTGACCTCCATGATGCCCTCCATGATGCCCTCCATGATGTTTATTGTGATGACCACCAAAAAGACCTACATGTAAAATTGCATTAAAGTTTTAGCAAATATTTACATACCACTTCTAATTAATTGAGTACACTTAATATATATAATATACTTAATATATATAATATAGGGTTCAGTTCTTATGGCCGTACAAAATGTACAGCACCCTCAAATTAAGGGGGGTTAAAACTTTTTATGGTCATAATTTTTGAAATATAAGAGATTATTGCATGAAAATTAAAATTGGGGATTTGTTGATGGATATAATCTTAGATAAAAATACTAAAGAAAATATTTTATAAACTTGTTGCTCCCACGTTAAGGGCTAAGTGGGCCCAAAAATTGGGGATCTTTTGTCCCCAAGCTCCAATCACCGCAACTCTTTGCAAAACATTCTCATATATATATATATATATATATATATATATATATATATATATATATATATATATATATATATATATATATATATATATATATATATATATATATATATATATATATATTATATATATATATATATATATATATATATATATATATATATATATATATATATATATATATATATATATATATATATATTAGGGTGCCAAAAACAACCTTTTTTGAAAATGTTTGCTTTTACAGCTTATATATTTTCTATGTAATAAAATGACACTAAATTTCAAAAATTAGGTTATAAAAATTAAATTTAGTGATTTCTTAAGACCCTTAAATAATCCTAACATCAAAAAATATATGAAGTTAATTAAGCTAACCCTAGATAATAGATAAGATAGAATTTTAGATTTTGAATAAAAAGTTTATTTAACACTATCATTGCAAACTCTAAAAATCTTAAAAATTTTATAAAAATTTATTAACAATTAAATAAGTGTAGCAAAAGCTAGATTTTTCAGCCATAGGACTATATTTGCCGCAAAAAAAAGATATAAATTAGGCTTTGATTTTAATGGGTCACTTCAACAAAAACAAAAATTAGTGATAAAAGATAAAAGTTATATAACTTATTTATATTTAGTTATATAATTTATTTAGTTATATATTTATACTTAGTTATATAATTTATTTTGTTAAAAACTTATTGTCTTATTTATATAAATTGACTAAGCTCATAGCCATATCTTAATTGCTACAAAATTGAGAAAAAGTTCTAATTAAAACCTGTAGTACACAGGAAATACCCAGTTTAATTTAATATATATATAGATAGATAGGCATATTAGAATGCAGCATTAAATGGTTATTAATGACATCATACTGATATAGGTAGATGTAGGAGTTTCAGTAAACACAGCGACTAACTATCTAGGTAAAACATGCAAGGAGTGCTGCTACATCAACTGAGGGTTAGAGCAGCAAGTTTTTTTCATTAATCTTTATTTTTTCTTCTTATTTTAAAAAACTAAAGCTAAAGATTTCTTTTTTTTTTTTTTTCAACAACTTCACTTCCAACAAGGCTGCGAGCAACCACTATTAGAGTTGGAAGTTACTGGAAGAGAAAAGATGAAGTTTATAGAGCAAGATAATGATTGACACACAACTTTAAATATTGCAAATTATATGAATCAAAAAAACAAAATGAAGGAAGCAAATTCTGAAAGACTGATATTCGAGGAAAAATAATCAATGAATAAGAATTTTTAGAGCACTTAGGAACAGAATCTAAAGCCTATATACAAACAGTAGTAATAGTAGATATTTTTATTTTAAAAAAAGATGTGTAGGAAAATTTTTTATAAAAAAAATTAAAACTATAAGATTTATCATACACTTCAAACACATTTAAAAAAATAAAAAAACAAATTTATTTGTCAGAAGTTATTTGTAGAGTTTTTTTTAAATACAAAAAATTAACATTTTTTCTACATTTACAATTGGATTCAAGTTTATTTTATAACAAGCTTGATATAAATAAACTTATTTAGATAAACATACTTCTTATTCAGTTTTTATACCAATAATCTATATATAAACTAAATTTATAAAAACTATAATTTATTGATCAGAGGAAATACGAACTTTTGCATTAAAAAAAAATGTCTATGAAAATAAAATCCAATTTTACCATCTTTTTTTGCTAAACTTGACATAATTAAATCAGAAATCTGAGCATTTGTAAAAAGAACAACATGCAATTACAATTTCAATATTTTTACTGTAACTAATAAAACTTAACACTAACTAAATGTTATCCTGAATAATAGAGTGCTAAGAGTTCATTTATTTAAATATTATATAATACTATATAAAAAAACAAAAACATTTTGTATTCATTTGGTGGTAAAATATTCAAAACTCTTTTTCACTATATTCACTTTTAAAAATGTTGAAGTTACAAAGTAAAACAAAAAATTAACAATTAATAAGGGTTTAATGGAGTATTTGACCAACATCAAGTTAAACAATATTGACATCATCAAATTTTAAAAAACTCATATCTTTATTAACCAAAAGAGTTAATTATGAAAATAGATTCAAACAGATATTTGGTTTTGTGTCAAATTTTTAAGCTTTTTTATATCATTTGAATGAACATTTTTCTGCTAAAACTGCGGACAGATTATTTTGAGTTTTCAAGATATTTAGAAAACTGTATACAGGTATACTACTTACTTTAGTTTGACTTGAATTAGGATTTGTTTACGATCCAATCATGAAATATTGTCACATTTATTTGTAGCATTGCCTTTTATTTCAGAAATTTCAGAACAATAACTTCCTGTTCAAGTGTCACTTGTTTAGTTCCTGTATTTAAACCGTAAGTTAATTCATTTAATTTGGCCGTATTTTTATAAAAATTGCAAAATAATATTATACAGAAAGTATCTAGTGTATTTTAAACATAAGAAAAAGTTGCTATAATCTGACTTCATATTGCTAAACAAGATTATAATATGATGCAAATCGAATTGTAATAAACAAAACACGATTAGAACTATACAACACAAAGTTGAAAAAATACAAAAAAAAAGAAAGAAATATGAAAAAAAAAGTAAAAAAGATGTTGCTTTCAGGAATAAAAGAAAAATGTACCCGCTATAATATATATATATATATATATATATATATATATATATATATATATATATATATATATATATATATATATATATATATATATATATATATATATATATATATATATATATATATATATATATATATATATATATATATATATATATATATATATATATATATATATATGTGTATATATTACATATATATATATATATATATATGTATATGTATATATATATATGTATATATATATATATATTTGTTTATTTATTTATGGATTTGTTATAGCATTGAAAGATTGTGTATTAGATTGTGTATGTTTAACTTTTATAATTATTTATAAGATTTTTATCTAATTGAGAAAATTTTTGGACTCATTTCAAGTTATTGATTAATTACATTAACTTCATTAAATCTATTTTTGCTATTAATAATTAGGGAAATCAAAAACATACTCTAAAAAATATGTTTTAAGTGTTTAAATTCTGTTCTGAAAAAACCAATTTTAGGCTCTATATAATATTTTTTTCCTAATTAATCTATATTAGACAGTTTTTTACATTATTTTAATTTACTAAAAAGTTTTTTCTTTATCTACAGATGTTATTGGGGCATATTTGACAGAGAGGTCTTTAAAATAGCATAAATTTGCTTTGTATTAATAGATAGCCAAGCTTTTAAAAATAATAATTTATTTGATACAAACTGATCAACATTTGGATATATGCTTTACAATAGCCTTCCAAACTCTGTGTAATCCATAAGTAAGGAAAGTTAAATGTGCTATTTTGGTGTAAAAAGTTTTTATTGCTCTAACTACTTTTACCATATATGGCGCAACATCAGAAAATAACAGTAAAATAGTGCTTTAGTCTAAACTTTTAGACTAAAGCACTATTTTAAATAATAAAAATAAATGTCATTATTTGTTAGATGACATGGATTTGCTAAAATTGATTTTTTACAACCCGATTCTCATTTCAGACTTAACGCATTTTGCAGATCATAAATTTTAAACATTATACTACCATCAAGAAATAAATAATAATAAAAAAGAGGAGTTAAAGAGGAGATTTTATGATATTTTTAACTTTATAGAGGATAATAGAGGATTTTGGAGGAGGTTTTTGAAAAAGAAGACTTATTTTAGAGGATTTTAGAGGAGCTGTGGCCACCCTGTAATAGCATAACAACCATATTTCATCAACCCTGCTGAGCAGTGTCTAAATTTAATGAAATCAACATCAAACAAACAGATTCAGAGAAACCTATTTTGTGATTAATACTTGTGTACAAAACTTGAACTTTTTATTTATTAATTATACAGTTTATATTATACAAACCCCGAAGCTCATTTTCATTAGAGGTAGCCTAAATTTCAATTAAAACAATAAAATTCTAAATTGTGAAAAAAAATTTTAATTGAAACTATCTGAAAAATAGAAAACTTTGGGTCTTATGTTAAATAAAAGTGAACACATGAAAATTAAATCATAAGTTCCTTTTTCACAAAGTTAAACCAAAATTTCCATTTTAAAACTAATCACAACAACACATGTCGTTTTTTAAGGTGTTCACAGTTAAAATCTCTTTCGCATTTTTATATATTTTTAAAAGTTCAGAAAAATTTTCATACTTTTTTAAATATGAGACCCTAATGTAGAAGAACTTATGTATCTAATGTAGGAACTTATGTACCTAATGTAAGAACTTATGAACCTAATGTAGAAGTACTGTCAAAATATATATATATATATATATATTATTATTATTATTATTATTATTATTATTATTATTATTATTATTATTATTATTATTATTATTATTATCAATAATTCCTGCGATCTAATAAATATATATTTTGAACCTAAAAAAATTATTAATTTCATGGGTTGCTGAAAAAAAGGTTTTCCTTTATAATTAAAAATAATGTGAAAAATATTCAGATAAAATATATATATATATATATATATATATATATATATATATATATATATATATATATATATATATATATATATATACATATATATATATATATATATATATATATATATATATATATATATATACATATATATATATATATATATATATATATATATATATATATATATATATATATATATATATATATATATGTATATATGTATATATATATATATATATATATATATATATATATACATATATATATATATATATATATATATATATATATATATATATATATATATATATATACATATATATATATATATATATATATATATATATATATATATATATATATACTATATATATATATATATATATATATATATATATATATATATATATATATATATATATATATATATATATATATATATATATATATATATATATGCAATACCGAGCACTTTTATTAAAGTGATAAAGTTAAACATTAAAAATTTGTTTGTTCTGTTAGAAATACTAAGAGTGTTAATTAACAATAACTTTACAATAATGTATGTGATCTTACCATGCATTTTTAAGATAAATCAGTAAAAAGTTTTTATTTTGAAAAGGTCAGATAATATCTTCTCAAAATAACAATTTTTTCCGGCCTCGTTTGTGCGATGATATTGTTTATAAATAAAGGGTTTTTTTAATATTTAATTTTAAAAAACCGAGTGAAAAACAACATGACGAGGAAGAAACATAGGAATGGAAACCGTGACGTTTTAGCTTCGGTACTGTTATTTATTACGTTATAAAGGCTAATCTTATTAACACCGCTGCTGAGTAAAACATTCCAGTATTTTATACGATAAAGCTCTGGATTACTTTGTCCATAGTCATAAGAATAAATATTTCTTATTCATAAGAAGAATAATTTCTTATTCATAATTATAATTTATAATTTTTATTTTAATTCTTATAATTTCTTATTCATAAGAAGAATATTTCTTATGACTATGCTTTGTCTAAAATGTACAAGTTGGTAAAGCAAAGCTGATTTACCGACCTAAAATAGTTCTATTTTCGCGCACTCGTACGTAGAGACTTTTAAAATAATTATTATTTTTAAAAATTTATTACAATCATTATAATTATTGTTGTAAATATTTTTTGTTAATAGTAATTATAAATTTATAAATTATCATTATATATAATTATTATTATCATTTATTATTATTTTTTGTAGATATATGCGTTTTTACACTCTTCTCCATTTTTTTACTAACTTTCTTTTACTAACCGTTTTTTTTACTAACGAAAATAAATTTATTTTATTGCGCAACTATTTTGCAACATAAAAAAGAGGCTTGAAACGACAAAAAATTAAATAAATAGAGATAAACCACTTAAATTAACGATCTATTAAATGGGTTAACGATCTATTAAGGCAACAATTATTAAAGGGTTAAATACAGTGACGGATCCAAGAATTCTTGGTGGAGGACGAGGGAAGGTGATGTTGAAATATTTTTGTATTTTGTATCACATTTGCGTCTCTTAAAAAAAAGAAAAAATCCTCCATTCCTAAAATTTATTAGGACTTTCAGATTCATACGCCTGGATCCGTCAATGGTTAAATAGCGATAAACTATTTAAGTTAACGATCTATTAAATAAGCTAAAGATCTATTAAAGTAATGATTATTAAAGGGTTAACAATCCATTAAATGGTTGCAGTCGCTTTTTTAACTGGGAAAGTTATCATTTCATTTTAATTACTCGATAAATGTTTTCAATTTTTTACAGACGATAAAACATTGATCTAATATAATATTTTATATTCTTTTTTTACTAAGTTACGGTCGTTACGTTTTAAAAAACAATGCACAATTAGAAGATGTGACTTTCAATAGTAAGTCTCGTCTTCTAAGCTTTTCAAATAACACTACCGTCTATAATTATTCGAATGACATAAACATTTTTGCATTATTAGATAATTATTCGAATGACGTAAACATTTTTGCATTATTAGATAATTTAATACTTGTTGGTAGTACTTTGTACTTTGAAAAAAATGCTTTGATAAAAATCATTAAAGTAATAAAAAAGAGTACAAAAAAAAAGGACCATCAACGACCGGAAACGCGGACCAACAAGTGGAACTTATAAACCTTCGGTTTCAGGAGAAGGTTATTTGTCCGAGAAAAGGTCGTTGAACTGTAAATATTTTTTTATAAATTAGTGTGTGTTATTTAATTGACTGGGAAACATGATGGATGTAGTGTTGATGCTGTTTTGGTCGTCGGAATGCCAAATGTGACATTGAAAAATAGCGGGGATAATAAGAAAAGTTGTTTATTTGGACATTTTTAAAAATTCATGCTATACTTTTGGAAGGTTGGTTAATGAAGCCATTTATTTTTTTAGAAAAAAGCGATCCAAAGCTTTAATTTAAAACATATTCTTCAATACAGTGTATAAATTGTTTAACTTAGTTTAAGAATGATCAAATATTGAGTAGAATGATTTGGCCTTTCCAATCATAAGATCTTTTTCACATTGGATTTATATGGGTTGAATTAAAAGTATCTCAAAAACTAATGCCTCGTGATGCAAAAGATGTGGAAAAAACTTATTAGTGAGTGGCAAAAAATTGACTTTGACAAATTGGATAAGTCGTTATATAGAATGCCAAGAATATGTAAAGCGGTTATTCTTGCTAAGAACGATTAAACAGACAAGTAAATTATAAATTAATCTAATTAGATTTTTTATTAATTTTTGATGCAAATTTAATAAATTGAGAGATTTAGCGTATAATTTAGGAAGATTTTGTTTTAAGTTTTTCTCTTAATAGCGTGTAAAACTTTGATACCTTACATTGAAATTATGACCATTTAAATAATTACAGACAGTGGTTTACGTTTAAAAACTGTAAATGAGATTGAATGTGCATAGAAGGTACAAAATCTAGTAGGTATAGAGGTAGACACATTCAGAGGCGTAATATAAGACTCATGGGGCACTGGACAAAAATGTAAAACAATTTTTGAAATTTTTGATCAAAATATAAAACCATTACACAGCTGTAAGTGACATGTTTATAACAACATAACACAGCTGTAAGTGACACTGGAAATGTTTATTCTAAATTTTGTATTTTAAACACTATCCAATATGAAAACCATTTCTGAAAGGAGCGTTTCATTCAGCAAATTTATTAACACGTTATTTTTTTATTTTCAAAATCTCCCTAATATCATTTGCTATTTTCAAAATCTCCCTAATATCATTTGCTATTTTCAAAATCTCCCTAATATCATTTGCTATTTTCAAAATCTCCCTAATATCATTTGCTATTTAGCCAATCAAGAAAGTTAATCTTGAGAAATAGTTGACCGTTGGTAGGTTTTGATAATCTAACGTTCTGTAAATGAGCGTCAAACAAATGACTGTAGCATCGTGTGAACACGATGCAACAGTCATTGGAAGTGTTGTAAAAAGAGTACATGCAATTGATAATTCTGGCATCGCAGCAGTTAGTTTAACTGATTAGATGTTGCAAAATATCTAGAACAGTCTTCAATTTGCACAATTCTTTATAAAATTCTTGCTGGCATGAGCAAATTTTTTGTACGAGATTGTCATTTACATCGTTAGTGTATGATTGTACAAACATGGTTACAGCAAGTTCCGCTTCAGTATTCGATAAACTCTTGAGATTAGGGCCGCCCAGAGGAGGGGGCACTGAGTATATTTTACCTAGGTACACTGACAAAGGGGGCACATGCAATTCTTAAAAAAAGATTTTAATAAAATTTTTAATAATCATAAAGAGCACTACTACTTGGAGAAATTTAAAACAGAATCTAAAAGATTCTTATTATAATTAAAACTTATTACAAAAGACTTCAAATATTTATTATTCTAAATTTAATTCAAAATAGAAAAAAAAAAAAAAAAAAATTGTTATTATCTAAACTAAATGAATATTTCTTATTAAACAATAATATAGAAAATGTGTATGTATTAATATATATTTGTGTTTATATTACTTTTATTTTAAATTAGTAGAAATAGTTTCACGTTTAATTAAAGACATTTTTAGCATTTTTCAAAATTAATATATGTATTTTAAAACGGATTATGTATATATTTGCTTTTATATAAACACAGACAATATGTAAAGGGGACTCGGTGATAAGACAGTTTATGTCTTCTTCTTACTCGAGCCTAAACTTATATATGAAGTATGTTTTTATTGAATATTTATCAAACGGCAAACTTTCAAACAGGCAAAAAAATAAAGGAGGATTATGTGCATAATTTTAAGCAAAAACTTTATGACGAAATGGAAGTTGTTTTTTTTTCTGTAAGATATTTTGTGAGATTTTAGAATATTATAACATGAAATGAAATTAAAATTTAGAGATAAGTTAAATAGAAATTTCACAATTCCTATTTTTTCTGTGTAAAAGGATTGATTGCAATGGCTCCAATTTAAATGCAGTTAAAATTCGAATTACATAACACTTATCCGAACAAAAGGCTTGTTGTAACACATTATCAATGTTATGTTGTAACACATAATCAGTTAAGTTACTCTCATTCCAACATTTTTCAAATATTTTTTCTCAATACATTCATTCCAATTAATTTGATATTGTGACATTGCATTTAATTTTTTTTCTCTTTAATTCCTTTGAGAATTAAATTCTGTATAAAAAATTTATTTTGATTTTGAAACAAGTGAAAAACTTTTTTGTTTTATTTAAAAATAAGTAACACACATCTTGGAGTTAAAACGTCATGTCGAGTTTTCGAAAGCATAATTTAGGGTTTCAAGGCAGAAAAAAAGCTGTAGAAATAGTTTTAAAAGAATACAAGTACAAACGTACACTGGAAAATAGTGGCTTCTTTAAAGTTCAAAAAAAAAGGCATCCAATAACTCTAGGTTTGACCAAGTAGTCAAGGTATAGGTTAACAGCTTTATTTTTTTATTCACAATCTTATATTCATAATTTCATTCCAAAACTATAAAAACAATTCTTTTTTAGATGGACCATGCTACCAACAGCGTTGATGAACCCTTGAGTTCAAAAGAGACATCTTCCCCTTCAAACTTTTCAACCATCGCTGGAGAAGAAGATGATAATTAGGTGAGTTCGGGACGCATTCTTACTTTATGGAAAATCTGCAGATAATAAAAACATAGCATTTAATATTTTCAGATTCTAAAAGCATCATTTAATATCTGCAGATATTAAAAACATATAACAATTCTCAAATGCTTTTTTTAGATTTAGGATCAAGAGGTGATTCAACTGGATAAAACTCTCTTCCACAAATCGGGGTCGTTTTTAGCTGCTTGATTACCCAAGCAGCTAAAAACGACCCCGATTTGTGGAAGAGAGTTTTATCCAAAGGGTAACGCAATCTAGTTATACTAAATGGACCACCTCAAAGTCAAAAAAAAAATTAACAGAAACTGGCTTATCTGAAGTCGAATTACAAAAGCTTTCATTTGTTTTCCCTGCTCTATTTTTGGACAAAAATATAATTTTGGACCTGGATTTCAGTCTTTCCTCTTGATGTGAGTTGGCGGAATAAAAGATAATTTGCGAAAGCTATGAGAGAAGATTAAAAGCCACCAGTGTAATGTTCAACAGAGAAATCACTACGTCGTCTGAAAATTAGCCTTTGAAGCTTTGAAAAATCAGACCAAGATCGATTCAAACCTTAAAAAGTCAATAAGAAAAAAGGCATCTAAGCGGTATTAAATTTTACGCTGTGTCCTGGACATCACTCTCCATTTAGCTTTGAGAAATCTAAGTTTTCGAGGTGTGAATGCAGTTTATGTTCATAAAATAATTTTAATGTAGCTTGGAATATAATTCTAGATGTAATATTTATTTCAATATTATGTTCATATTTTTGTAGGTTTATAAAACATGCTGACTTTTAGCCACCCTTGAGCTGTTGGGGTAACACAATAAAACACTTCAGTTACATCTAGAAGAAGTTTCTTGACACCAAAAACATGGAACAAGAATGCAAGCGCACTATTTGAGCTGAAAAACTCATAATGAGTTCATTATGGCATGTGGTGAAAGAGACTGCAATTGATGTATTGCAGTGTCAATAATAGGATAAAAATATTCACTTTAATAAAAGTTTACCATCTTGAATTGATCTTGTTGTAAGTCATCACAGAATAGTCTGGTATTTCTTTTTTGGATGTTTGCGAACGTGTTGGTAGTGTTTCTGCTAGTGTTTTTGAAGTTAAAATTATGCTCTCCCATGTATTACAGGTAAATTGAAGTTCTGTATGGGCCATTAAATATAAAATTACTTGCTTGAGAAAGATTTATTTGTTTCATCTGGAGCTCAACTGAAGGTTTGTTAACTGCATTAATCTTTCACAAACAACAATGAATACAATTAATTCAAACTTTCTAATGGCATTCCGAAGATCGATGACATCATCTCCGTTTTGTTTTGACTTTCCAGGCTAATTCCTGTAACCACTTTAAGAATGTCAGCATACCTATTTTTTACTGCACGGACTGTATCTACTTCAGAAGACCACTTTGTTTTTCTAAATTTAAGCCTTGCGTAGACAGCCAATTACTTAACTGTTCTGTTAATCCTACAACAGTTGCATCAGTGACATTGAGAAATCTAAGAAAAGATTTATTTATGTTGCAATTTTCAGAATTTAAATCTGCCCAACGCGCAGCAAACTGTTTTATATAAAGTAGTGGAGAAAAATATTTTGTTCTGCAATTTGATTCCAAAGAATTTAGTTAATAATGTTTTGATTAGTTACGCATTTTTTGATTATTTTTAAGTTTTATATGTAAGTGTTTTTTATAGTTTAAAGAATTTTTAAATTTTAATAATGAAAAAAGTTAATTAGGTAATAAAAATAAATACTTTATTTCAACACATAAATTATGTTATAAAATTGTGCCAAAAATAACAATAAAAATTTATACTATAATTTAGCTGATAATGTAAATTAAAAAAAAATATTTTCTTAAAAACTATCATCGGATGAATCATTGTTATTTTCACTATCCGAAGAATCGGACCCTAAATAATCTACATCGCCACACAGAATTGCATTTCCAATCAGCTGTAGTGGTATTACAGGGATACTTAAATGTAAACGTCTAACGGTAGTTTACTTGTTTTCTTACTTGACAATATGTATGAGTTGATGACAGGATCTGATGTTACCAAAAGCATATTGAGCAAATCTATATTTGTGGAAATACATGAGTTTTTTTTTGTAGCTATCCGATTGAAGAAGACGTGTTTTTATAATTTCCGTGCTATGTAAAGCATTTTGTGCACACTAACAGGCATATATTACCACGGGTATAGATTAAGATAAAGACTTTTGGTTTTAACACAAGGTTTTTCAAATTCATAATAATTAATACCATAGCCTGAGAAAAGTGTTCTTAATAAAGTACTGAAATTTTTAATGAGATTGACCCGTAATCTCGCCACATAAATCTGGCTTCATAAAAAATCTGCATGCTGTGTTCCTATCATTTGTATTCCAAGAGCCAGGTTTTAGTTTGACTACAATAAGACCCATATAGTTTTCAAATTTTTGTTTGATATCTTCTAAAAGCTTTTGGACACAAGATTTATCTTATCGATTCTAGCTTGCCACTTTTTAATTTAAATGACTCAGTCTCAACGGAACAAGTGAAAAACAAACAAAAACTCGTCAGTAGCATCAGAGTTTGTTAAACTTTGTTTATAAGTACTGTGACCAGAGCTCCCATCGCACCCCTATTTGCTAATTAATGTGATTGGCGTAGAAAAGTATAATTTTTAAGAATTTCACAATGGGGTTTTATTAGGCGTTCAGTAGTTTTATCAAGTATGGTTTGTAGGTTAGTTTCGGCACGTGTTTCTGTAATAGAAATATGTCCATCTAATCGATGGCATAACTTTTTTGACTTGCACAGATTATAGTAACATGGAAATACTATATGCCTTGCCTTTAAAGGCCATTCTCGCGTCTGTTTATAAAAATGATTTGTATATTTATTCAATATACTATTGCCTCGTCACGATTCAACTGCCACCACAAATAATCGTGACACCTCGTCACGATTATTTGTGAGGCTTTATTAGTGGTCGTCAACTGCGACCACTAATAAAGCCTTTTGATTTTGTTTTTTTCTGATGATTCTAAATATTTCTGATTAAAGAAGATTGGTTTTTGTGCCCCGACATACGACATGCTACTTCAGCAGCGTTGGTCAACTCAATTGCACTTAGCGATTTTACTAAGTCTTCAACCTTCCGTTTTTTGGTTTTAAAGGATGAATCGTCAAAGATTTTTTTGGGGGGTCATTGAAATTTTCCAGATGATCAAAAGGGACATTTCTGATATATACTTATTTCAAATTCTACATCTGCTCCCTCTAACCAACATTTATTTTTGTTTAAAAAACGGTCCACCATTATATGTGCTGCAGACCATTTTGTTGCAAATTTTGATGCCAAACATGAAATTTTGAAAACTGCAAAAACCTCTCTAAATCTTTAGTTACATTAGTTACCTCAGTAATACAAAATTTTTTTAAAATAAAATCCAATAAACAAGACTTTCTTCTTTATTATGTTTCCGCCATATTTCAAATAACTCCCACGGTCGTTTAGATATTAGTAAAAAGCGCTATGTGTAGGTACGCATGCGTAAGAAAATACAAAAAACTTTTGAACTTCTAAAATGGCTACGGTTCTTAACTACAGAGAATATTTTATATGGCAACAGATTATTTGTTAATAAATTTCTAAAAAGCTAATGATGTAGTCTTATTTTTAACGTAAATCAATATAATAATACAAAAATTTCACAAAAATATAAATAAATTGATGTAACAAAAATCTTTGCGAGCTTAAACTTTATTTTTATTTAATACCTTTTTAGTGTAAACCATAGATTTGTTTATTTATTTGAAATCAATTTTCTAAAAACTGACTGTAGGATTTCAATAGTTTTTTTTTAAAACTTCAGTTAAATATGTTCTATATGTATGATATTTTTCTGGTCGATGCTTCAACTTTTTTTCCATATAAAAATTTATTTTTACTGTTATGACTATTTCCTTATATATCAAATTGCAATTTCATTATTTATTTTGTTGATTACTATTTTTCTGACTATATATATATATATATATATATATATATATATATATATATATATATATATATATATATATATATATATATCAAGCCTTCCCAGGAAAGGCGTGCGGTTTTTTGTCTCGTACGACCACGAAAACGTTTTTAAGTTAGTGAAGTTTTATTATATGCGTTGCTGAAAAATTGTTTTAAATTTAACAACTACTTAAGAAATTAAAGTGAACTTAAATAGAAAATAATAATAAAAGTTTAAATAATTTGTGTTGTTTTTATTTTTGTTTATTTTTTAGTGGTTATTATTACCGGCAACAAACTTCATTAAGTCAAAGCAAAAAAAAAAAAAAAAAACGGTTTTAGGCGTTAAAAAGGATAACTTTTTCATATTTTATATGTTTTTTCTTTTAAAGAGGAAAGAGAAAACATGTATCGTCATCTGTTTGTAAAATATATTTGTATAATTATAATGTAACAAGTTTATATCAAGATAATGATAAAATATTAGGTCTTTAAAGTTTTAGTTCATGCAAAGCTGTGTACTTTGTTTATATGGAGCAAATGATTAAAAGTTTGCTAGCGAGAAAGTTACAAAAAATAAAACAAAAACAATAAACTTACGACTACAAAAGTAATAACACTTTAGTCACTAACTGCATTATAAAAGTAATATAACTATAATAGTGTTATTACATTCATAAAGCACTTATTACTTTTAAAGTTCATTCTTTGTTCAAACAACATTATTAATTCCAAACATATATTAAAGTGGAAAAGCATCTAGAAAAAATAGTTTATTGTTTTATTTTTTATTTTTTCGCTAACAAATTTAAGTTGATTCTCCCCTTAAAAACAAGGAACACGGTTTTGTATAAACTAAAATTTTGAATACTAGATATTTTTCCAGATTTTGCGTTTTGCATTCGCTTAATTCAACCTTTGCTGTTAGATTAAAACTATAGAAAAACTTAAGAAAAAGAAAATCATTCTTTTTATTGTAGACTTTAAACTGTTTTTTTTTTTGCTTCGCCTTATCTAATTTTGTTGCTGAATGTAACTCTAAAGAAAAAAAAATAAAAACAGCACATAAATGATTAATTAGTTTTTACTTTTTTCAATTTCAATCTCTTTTTATTTTGTTAGTTTTTTTTTTTTTGTTTT